TTGTCCACTGCCCAGTAGTGCATGTTGCGTAGATTCACCTGACTGTGATTCGTAAATGTTGCCTCATTGGTAAACATAATCTTCTTAAAAAATCTGATCATCTATCACGTGTTCCAGAGCAAAACGACAAAACAGAACACGTTTCTGGTAATCACCATCATAAAGATCCTGGTGCAACGAAATGTAGTAGGGGTGAAACTTGTTAAAGCGTTACAGTAAATGCGAAATTTGTAGCTCTTTTCCACAGATCATTTTTGAGTTTTCGAAAAACATTTTTTGAAGTCATTTCAATCACTTGAAATCACAAACGCAATAGCACTTACAAATCGCTGAAAATGTGCATGTTAACGTCGTGAGAGATTATAACTAGTGGTACTACAGAATGGCACATACTTTATGGTATTGGTTTTCTATTTCCTTTGGTCTCGGCTAGCTATTCGGACTTGCCACTTACTCTTGCCAGCTGCCATCTATTGCCGCTCAAAGTAACTTCTCTTAAACTTTTTCTTAATTTTTCGTCTTTCTAATAGTAGAACGGATATATTATTTTAAGTATATTAATGAACAGTAAAACCAGTTTCTAATGGCAATTTTCTTTAAAAAATTTGGAGCCGTTTTAAAAAAAATGCCACTTACGCGCTATTGATAATTCGAAATTTGAACCTCATTTCATAGAAAACTATTGAAGTTTCGAAAAACTTCATCTGACATCATTTCAAGCACACGTAGTCACAAATACAATAGTGTTTACACATTGCTGGAAATAGCAATATTAAAGACTTGAGAGATCTTTAAAAAAATTACGTCTGTGTAATTTTCGAATAAATCAAATGAATACTGCCAAATTAATTATATGTCATCTTAAACAATCAAATAATCAAATTAACACTATCTCTTTGAAAAATTGAAGACAAATTTTGAACTGTTTTTGAAAAATGGGTTTGAAAATTTTGGAGCACGTTTTCAGGGAAAACTTTTAAGTTTTTGGGAAACATTATCCGACGTTACTATGTACTCATAAATGCATTAGAGTAAAGACACTGCCGCTAAGGTATATATTAATAACGTGAGAGACAAGTCCAAAAATTAAATTTTTGTAATTTTTGAAAAAACAAAAGGATATGGCGTTTATGTCATCGTGTAGAGGGCATTTATTACTATCCCTACCAAAAGTTTACAGAAAAAAATTGGAGCCTTTTTGAGATAATCTTGTTTTTGTGATTTTTTTAAAAATTGCACAATTCCTACGAATGGTTTAGTAGTGTTCACAGACACTATATGGACGGACGAACGAACGTACATAATGAGATATCAAAAAAACAACACTTTTTCGGTATCAGAGGACTGCAAAACATGTATTTCTGTTGAAATCTGGAAATTGATTTTCCGGACCATTACAAACATTCTCTATACTACGTATATTGCTCGATAAATGAGTACGTTTACGCGAAAGTAAAAAATACATTTGAATAATTTTTGAGCAAACAAAATAAGTGAGCAAAAATAAATTTATATTATCTTAAACAGTGCAAATAACACTATCCGTACAAAAAGTTTGAAGAAAAAATTTGGAGCCGTTTTTGAGGAAATAGCATGTGAGTGTTTCTGCAAATCTGAATTTTGAACTCATTGCCACAGAAAAGTGTTGTGTTTTCGAGAAACTTTATATGACGTTATTTAAGCACATGTAATCAAATATAATAATGATAACAAATTGCCACTAATATATCTATAAACGATTAGAGAGATAAAAAATACATTTTTGTAATTTTTGAAAAAAAACAAAGAATCGAACAATATGTCGTTGTCATTTTATTGAGTACATTTACCTTATGGACAAGCCTGTCGATTTTCATTCCGATACTTAGCACTGTACGCAATGTTTGAAATACGTAGCAATGAATATTTGTTAAATAGTAAGAAACTATCGAGCCGGAACCGGCAAAAATATTTAATACAGTAAATAAAATTAGGACTAAGAAAGGAATCGCGTGTCTCAATACAATATATTGTTACAATGTATTGCTAGTTATTAGATTACTCTTATCGTTGCCTAATTGCGTAGCTACATAAATATATTATATATAAATAGTCGATTCCGGTTATAGTGAATTTCGGTAGTGTACTCTGGGTTATAGTGAATTTAAGTTTGGTCCCATTTCACTTACATTACAAATGAGCATAAGAAGAGTCGGTGATAGTGGACCTTGGTTATAGGAAATATAAAAACCTGGAAATTAATTATCTCTGTAAAAGAATATATCGCCTCGATGCCACAAATTTCCAAAACTAGGCAGCTTGAAAAAAATGTCAAAAGTCATAATTGGAATTCTCCCTGAAGTAAAGGCAGAGGACTTCAAATGAGTATCTTACTGATGACTTCATACCACTCAGTTTCACCTAGGAAAGAAAGGACGCGTCCTGCGTAGGTTACATCTGGCGGCGATTACGGCTTTAGTTTCAGTTTAGGTGTAACTTGATATTCCCTGCGGCAAATCACGTTGTGTTCTACGTAGGCGACAGGAAATGCCCGACTTTAACAGTGCCCAAAACTGGTGATACTCGCCGCGCCCGCAAACAAGCGGTCATTTTTTGTAGCCATTTGCGTGATCTCGCTACCGAAAGGATCTCGTATGTTATTGGGAGACTAAAAGGGCCTTCGGAGAGTGGGACGATGTTCCAACAGTGCAAGAGGAATTGAAAGGTGTCAACACAGCGTTACGAGATTTAGAGTCAGTGGACAATGCAGAATAAATTATGGAGAGAGCACGAACTCTGGAGAAGGCTCTTGAAAAATGACTAATGAAAAATGTACGAAGATAACAATTGTATATAATTGATTTTTTATGGATATATGAAGACATTGTAATTTTCATTTCGTGTTGTTAATGAGCCAAGAATATTAGTTCCCGGAAGTTCACTGTAGCCGAAGTCTACTGAATATTTTATTATTAATTAATTAATTTTTTATATACAATAATGTATATACTTATAAATATTTATAATAATTACTTAATTGTATACATATCTTTTGTCAAGAGAATGTTTTGCTAATGCATTGATGAAAGTGAGGTTTTTCGTCATTTTTTAACATTTGTTGTTGAATATGTGTATTCACTGTATTCACACAGTATTTGCTGCGTCGCCCATTTTGGGTGAAATTTATCAATCTTTTGTTTTATATTGGAGAACTCTTCTTTGTCAAGTTTATTGTGTTTGCTACACGCTACATTGTTTTTGTCTGTTTGCAGTACACATCCTAATGGTTCCGATAGGATAACAATGTACAATAAGGATTTGAACGTAATCTCATATTCATTGTTGACTGGTTTGACTAAGTCTATTTTATGTTTAGTGCTGCATAGTGTGTTATTTATTAATTTGATAGGGGAAAGACTTGAGTAGTATGCTTATACATTCTCGCTGCGGTGTAGAGGGAAAGTCATGTAATACTGAGCGACGTATTTTCCAAGGAAAACTCTTATACAGAGCCCTGGCAATGAAAAAGTGGATAACCCAGATGTTAAAATAAGAAAAAAATCCTTGAACACGTGATGTAGTCATTATCGATATTTTGTGGGTCCTTGATACCAAAAAATCGAATGACGGCAAAACGTCTGTCCGTCAGCCCTTGTCTGTCTATGAACAACGCTAGAGGCTAAACCGTTCAGCAGATTTTCTCCAAATTTTACAAAAAAATATTGATAGATATTTTTCCCTTAATGAAATTTAAAGCCAAGGTATTATTAATTTTGTGTGCCAGTGGGTAGTGTAAACTGTAACGCAGATATGCATCTGATCTTACTAGCTTTCTATACAAATTGGATAGTGTCATTTATATTTCTGATCAACATGGTATCCAGAAAAGATAATCTATTACATCCTTCGTTTTCTAAAGAAAATGTGAGTTTTGGATGGTATGCTAATGTGGGTGCACCAGGATATCCCATGGCAACACCATCTTACGTGATTTGTATTCATAATTGTAAACAATGTATCCTTCTTGTCTAAATAGAAATTTATCCTTTACATTATTAAAATATCCAAGTTTCAGTAGAGTGAAGTCAAGTAAAATGCTAAGAGTGCATATTTTTTCGTTTTACGGTGCAATGTGTAGAACGTGATATTTGTTTTGATGTATTTTAGTGAAGATTAAATACTGTATGTGACATATGCGTGAGGAGATATTGTCCCAATTAAATAACCAACCCTATTGCTTGAGGAAGTAAGTTTATTGCAAATCTGCTTTCTCATTTATCGTTCGTCTGGGTCATGCGCTATCTCCTCTAATACAACGCGGGAAGAAATAAACTTTCATAAAATGAACTTTCCTTATTGTTTTATTTTAAACAAATATGTTATCTCTCTCTTGAAAACAGTTTTTCCTGTTTGTATTTTAGGGGAGATTTGTGCTCTATGTTCGAAATTTTTTAGTTCCAATTTTATTTGGGAAAATAACGAATTATAAAGCAAAATGTCGGGTTCATGTTTATAATGATATTTTGGTTGTACAATGTATATTATTGTACATGCTATTGCTCAATATTTGTACGAAATCTATTAAAAAATCGTACTTATTTCTTTCTTATTCCCTTGATTGTAAGCTATCTTGCCGGGTTTGTACAGCCAACGTCCCACCTCCTATCTATCAGTGTCTAAAAGATGTAACAGAAATTCGTGCGGTAACAACAGCTCCACTGGGAACACTTCTACGAAAAAACTATCTTCGCTCGCTAAACATCGTACAGGCCTATCACGGGACTGCACCATTTTGTATTGGCTCATTGAATACGTTGGTCCATCTGGGAGCTTATTTCATTGTTCTGGTTGCAGGGATCTACTAGTAGTTCGCCAATTACACCCAAATCTTCCATTCAGCTAGCTGCCTGCCATGAAAAGAGGCCTGCCATGAGGTCGGAAACACGACGAGTACGTAAGATCTCACCCTACAAGAGGAAGGAGCACCGCCATATGCGGATTCTAACATTCCCTGTTCATAGCGGCGTGTAAATCTGCGCTGAAGAGCCGCAGACATGAGGAAAAGACGCAGAGGTCACCATCGTGTCAGGCGACGTCACTCTGTGCAGAATTCACGCAGAAGGCGCATAAAGAGGGCGCCGCGACGCCGTCCAGCCCCAGTGGACGCCGCGACGCCTCCGACGCCCCTCGACGCCAGGACGACTGGCTCTGGTCCTTTGGCGCTCAACTCCGCACGTAAGTTCCTCTCTGAAGTTTGTTGTCTGTAAGTGCTACTTGTCAGGCTAAGGTCATGTTATGGCGTACCAGGGCATTGCATTCCGAATTTATGCTGATCGAACCATACAGTTTCAGAAATTTCCCTTTGCATTCCCGTAATTATCAGGCCCATAATAAGATTGCATACATTTTTGGTCTTTAGGCGTCATTGCTAATATTACTACATCCAATTTCATACTTTCTGGGATATTGTTTATTCTAAAATAGCGGAACCCGTCTGAAGTTGTTCTCTTGTTCATCTCTCTTTCTCCTTCCCCCACTCTCCCCGTCTCGTGTCATTCTGTTGCAACCCTAGTTTCAAATTCTTTTTCGACATTAAGCGAATAATATGTCGCAACACAGTATCGCGTACTTGGTTCACTTTTGTTTCAATGGTTGAAACTTTGGCGCATTTTTGCCTGTTCACAATCTCTTCAACAATGGCCTCCAGTACTTGTTGTACAGCCCGTCTAAAAATCTGAATTTTCATATCATTAGTAGGTTAGTAAATTTGACTTTAGTGGCTGAAGTGTTCATTTTTTCCTCAAATTTTTTGGATCTACCTTCTGGCTCTTCGCGTAATTTCAAATGTCCGCTTGCAATTCCACGACGATATTCTGTTGTTACGACGTGATTTGAGTTAATTTACCATCTCATTTACCTTCAAACCAAATATTATTCTCGTTTAATTTCTCATGAACTTCTTTGTTTCTTAAATTAGTTTCTTCCATTTATCTTGCAATTCTTAATGACTTTGCATATTCTGTTCTAATTTTAATTGTATCTTATCTTGCAATTCTTTTTGATGTTGATTTTTATGTTTGAACTTCCTTGTATTTTCATTTAATTTTTTCCTGCATTTTTGACTTTGCATATTCAGTTTCAATTTGAATTCGAACTTATCACGTAATTACTTTGAGTTTGATTACTTTGTTCTAATTTATCCTGCATTTGAATTAATAGAGATGTAATATTAAGTAATGTGTTCCGATCATAGATTGCTCCAGCTTGTCTCGTTGCAGCATTTTACGAAATGTTGACAAATTTTGTCTTACATGTTTTTTGCCAGTTTATTCTTCTACTGAAAGTATCTTTCACAGCATTTTCGATGTCGTAGCCAGTAATGATTTCATTTGCTTTTATTGCGCAGATCGTTTAATTCGCAATCTTTCCTTCTTCGGCCTTGAGAACCACTCTCCCTTTATATGACGCTTACAAGTAATTTGCTACCTAGCATGTCAGAAGTATTTATTCGTATCAGACTGATCCAGGTTTGGCAAAGTTGCGCAGAGGAAGATAATTCGCAGAGGGAAACTCAACAAATCGATGTATAGGATGCCACTAGATCTCGTGATTAGTGAGGAAAACTGTCTCTTCCAATAAGACGCACTACAATTATGGAACATTTATGGCTATAGTAGCTGATTCATTCGGAAACAATCAAAAGTTCGATTCCACTTTCCAGGTCATGCAAATAGAGCCCCAAGGCGCGATCTAGACAAACGAAGGAGATGGGGCTGGCTGCGAAGTTCTGCCGTGCGAATTGTGGTTCGCCATGTCGCCTCGTGGCGGCGCTGGTGGCGCTGGCCGCGTGGTCAGTGGTGGGGGCCGTTCCTCTGCCGGCACTCACCGCTGAGCAGCCAACGGAAATCAGCCGGGAGGACGCGATGGTGAGTGCTGACCCAGCGACAGGACGATTCCCGAATTCCAATCCGAATTCCGAGCACCAACGTGGCGGATTTCTGACGCTAGCTAGTTAGCTAGGAGTAATCCAGCCGTGATCTGGAGCAGAATTCTACCGGTGGTTGCATAGGGCATATTCAATCAATACTATGCGATTTCAGGAGCAGCACCTTTTAAATACCGTTCTTCTCTCCTGTTTATCCGTTACGCAACAACAGACACGAACACATATTCCCCTACAGTTACAGTCACAGACACTACGCTATTACACAGTTAGGAGACCTGTGGGAAGGCTAAAGGTTCTGCTGAGTGGGGTCGGTGTAGGCACCGGGGGAGGTGGCTCAGAAGTCCAACATGACTACACTACCACACATGCCCGGAGAATGGACAGGAGCTTAGAGCTTGTCCCTGCTGGGGTAGTGTCTCGAAGGAGCGAGATACCTGGTTGAGGGAAACCCCACTAGTCAACAGTAGGTCGGCACCGAATCTCACTATCCAGCAGGGGAAGACAACCGCCATCTTTTAAGGAAGACTCACGCACTAGATTTATGAGATTAATGACCTCAGTAGTAGACGCGCCCGGAATCACTAACATTCAATTTGTGGCGTCACATCAGTCGCCTTGTACAAACGTACCAAATATAAGCCACGTGCATTTCATGGACAGCGCTGGCGGAAGAGACGCTGGGCTGAACAAAGGCTAGGGAGCGGAAGGGAAGGGGTGCCGTGTCGTGGGTGGCAAACTTGGGAACCCCGTAGGCGACGGAAACACGTCGGCGGAAACAGCGAGATGACGCAGTTCCGTCAGCCGGCCCAGAAGGTATATAAACGGACCCCGGACCTAAACTCCTTCTTCTGATTCTTGGGCGTGTCGGTATGAAGTCGTGTGGGTTGTGCGCGGCGCTGCATTTCAATGCATAGGCTACTGGGGCAGGGAACTGAAGCCGGTGTGCTACGTCGAGATGTGAGGTGCGGCATACTCGCTTGTATGCTCACATAGGCTACTGGTGCATCACACCGAATATGATATCTAATTATCAGGCCAGCGGTGGTGGTAACCAGGGAACATTCCATCTAGTAACGGGTCAGTATTGTTTATTGTAAATATTATACATAGTATTCAGGTGTTGTAGCATTTTTATTCATATAAATACTTAATATTTACAAACCGTTCACGTCAGTGATTTATTGCACCGGCAAAGACGCCACAAATTCACTACAGCAGTTGTTGCGCCCGAAACAACATACAAAATAACCAACCAATCCCAAACGAAAGGAATACGTAAACAAGGTGTTGAGAAACTTGAACATATATTCTAATTCTCACCTATAATAAGAAAATTTAAGAAATTTACTCTAGCATATGTGAGCTTCGTGGAGGCAAATGTTTAGCTACATGACCGAATAGGAGGACTTATATATTATGCAAATCATTTGATACAACTCAATTGTAAAATTTTTTTTGTTAACGAATGGGGATCTTTTAATCCCTTAACGGTCATAACGAATGTCAATTCGTCCCGGTCTTCCGTTAGGTTAATTTAATAAATAAATACATTTTTAGGAAAATAAATAAAACGTTATTTTAGAACCTGCTGCTGAAATTAGATGCCGGGGCAACGCTGGCACCGTCATTGTATGCCTCAGGAGGAAAAAAGAAAGAGGAGTTGACTATAAGGCTTAAATCTTGTTGCTACCGCAAGCGTCATCATGTGACTCTAATTTCCACTACAGTGTCATGCAACTTCTACCTGAATACTTTTGTGTTGCAGCTATACCTTCACACGTACGGCTATTTGAACGATAGCCACATCAATGCCAACGAAGGGAGCTTCAAGGAAGCCCTCAAAATGTACCAAGAGTTTTCGAGTCTCCCAATCACAGGTAATAGTTATTAGGGACAATACAAGATCAGGAACAATTTAACATTTAGAATTACTAGTGAAAACCCCCCAAAACAGACATTTCATTTAAAGCAGTAACAACAAAATATGGTTAAAGTTAAAGTTTATATAGCATTAAAGCGATTAAAGCGCGATTAAAGTTTATATAGCAAGACATTTAAGTTTCGCAAGACCACCTTGCTATAAGAAAAAAAACATGTATGTAAGAAACGCATTTTTGAATAAGAGCCCTCGAACACCACTTCTCCTACAACTGATTATTTCTATTATTTTTATCGAACGAGTAGTAAAATTCTTCATGGACAATGACCGTTAAAATTAACATTTCGATCCTCTTTGTATTATGTGCACCTAAAAGTAAAATATTACAAAGTAGTATAATTTCGATATACGTATGGTAAGACATCATTTTACAATATGATATTAAAGCATTTTCAAACGAGGCTTTGGGGTTCTCCTTCAGAAGTTCAGCTTTTTGGGGTTCATCTTCAAGACCTCCAGCGGAGCACCGAATTTGATCTAGGCTTCTGACTGTCTGATGTGGTTGTGTAGTGTGTATATGTGTTTGTGTGTGTTTGTGTATTTGTTTAAGAAGATAATAAGGAAAGACTGAAGGAAAGATTGCGCACTGCCCATGGCCTGTTTGTTACGGTACTTTTCCGACTCTGTCATACCTGGAGAGGTGGCTAAGGGCATCAATTGACGTCACTGCAGTGACCGGGAGTTCCTGGGTTCGAGTCCCGACTCCGGCAGGATTCCGACCCTAGCTAAATAGCAAGGTCGAGTTGTCACTGTCTGTGGGAGAATTCTAGTGGTCGGCTGCTCTGTTCTTTAGTTTTCCGTGGCTTCTCCGATCAATGCCAGGCAAAAGCCGGAGCATTACCCTTCCAAACGGGTCAAGGACCGCGCGCGATAATTCCTTCTCAATCCTGGTTCTACCGTACCCCTTACACATTTACACTTACCCTTACATACAGTACACTACCACACATCCCAGGAGACCGTTCGGAAGCTTAGAGCTTGTCCCGGCTGGGGGGTGCCCCGCTGGTGGGAGATACTTGGTTGGGGAAATCCCTCTAGCCGACGGTAAGTCAGCGCCGAATCTCGCCATCCAGCTAGGGAAAGATCACAGCCACCTCCCGAGCAAACGATATGCACTATGGGACTAATAACCTTAGCAGTTGACGCGCCCGGAATCACTAGTAATCAATCAATTCAATCTCTCTCGCAATTCAGTCAAACCTCTAATAGAATGTAATATAACAAAATTAAACATTAAATTAAGTTTATTATGTTACGCATTCAGAATTCTATCAAATTCTGTCAGCCTTCATACAGCTCGTTGCGTGAATTTTGCAAATGTACATTCCCGACTGTGATATGGTATAAA